TGGTGTAGGACGGTCAGATCCCTACTACTGGAATCTTCTAGGAACCGCCAGTGAGTCCTTGGTTGTCTCTCATCCCACGTCATCCTCACACCAGCACAAAAGACTAATATTAGTACCTTCTGTTTACACATGTTGAAAACAAGGCTAAGAAGTGATGTAGCTGCACAAGGTAAGTCCGCAAGTCGCAGCGCTGAGTCATGAACCAGGTCTGTCTGCAAAACGTCTGCATTTTCTATCACACAGGGAAGAGGGTAGTGTCACCAGCTCCTTGGTTAGTACGAAGATCTGGTCACAGGCCTGTAATTTTGTCATTTTAACTTTTATACTATTGGTAATCTTAAAGATTTTTTTAAAGCATTCCTGTATGCCAGTTTCATGAACGGGATCAAGGAAAAAGATGTTAGCCTAGCATGAGTTTCAGTCCCACCCTGGGGTCAGGATAACTGGGGTAAGAGGGAGGTAGGAAGAGAGAAAACTGGACTCACAGCTGTGCAGAGCCATGCGGGTGTGTCAGGAGGAGCAGCAAGTCTTGTGGGGGTGCCTGCCCACTGGGACATTTATTCGATCCTCCTCTTTGTTGAAACTTTGGGGGACATAGGGTTGTTTTGCTGCAGTAGGCAGTTCTGCAGTGGGGCAGCCATGGGGGTGTCGGTCCAGGGTGGCTCCCCCTGCACCGCTCAGCTTGGCTTCAGTGATGCCACCTAGACCCCACCTGTGCTCACGGCTGGCACCGCCACTCCCCAATGTCAGGTCCCGCCTCTTCTCTGGCAAAGCTTTAGTGGTTGTAAGACTTCATCGGCAGGGTGAAGGGGTGAGGAATTCCACAGACGGCCTCTTTCCAGAAGCCTCCTCTGGTGCTTGGAGCAGAGCATTGTCTCCTCTCCTCTGCTCCGAACCCTCCAGCACTCCTCATCTCCTTTCCCAGGTGCTCAGGGCCCTGCCACTAAAAGCACACTCAATAAACATGATGACTTATCAACAGAGTGTTTAGGGCTTTGAATGCTTTGTCTCCTCTTCCAAAGCGGGTTATGCAACTTGTGCCCAGCACGCCCCAAAGCAGATGCACAAGACTCACATGCCATCAGACACTGTCAAAGAGCAAACAACTCAAAACTACGTTTCTTCCACCAAAGACAGCACCTTTGCTCAAGCTCACCCTTGTATAATCATAACAAGATTCTGTTTCTTGAGCTGGGGTCAAGGGTGAACACTAGATCTTTTATCTGTTTATATGCAGGTTCCTCTACCCCAAGGTATCTCACCAGTTTTCTTGATTTTAGAAGTTGTCACTTTTCAATTTTCTGTGCCAAAGGAAAGCGGAAGTAGTACAGTGGGCTCAGTTCCCAAATCACCTATATTTGGCTCTGGAAGGAATTTTGACACAGCACTGAAATATGAATGTGGGTGTCCCTCCCATTGTGGGAATCTACAGTGCTGTGCATTAAGGGAATTCAATCACCAGAGAAGGAACTACTCACTGGTTAGGGGCTGGGCCATGTTCCTCTTTTGTTCCCAGATGCACTCTTCCCTGCAGCACTTTACTCCACGCAGTGCCCTGTGGTGGACAGACGGCAATGGCGCCATCTTCCCCTCCGCGTGTCCACCCCCTACCCTGTCATTCTGCAACACTTCCCGTGGGGGGATGGGCTGTTCCCCCATCCCCTGGATCTGGGCTGCCTTTGTGACCTGCTTTGGCCCACAGAATGTGGCAGAAGTGACAGTGTCCCAGTACAAGCCCAGGCCTCAAGAAGACTGGCAGGTTTCTGCTTGTTCTCAGGCTCAACACCACCATGAGAGCATGCCCAGCTGGACGGCTGGAAGCATGGGGGACAGGTGGAGAGCACACAGCCTGGCCCAGCCAACCAGCTGGGTCCTTGTAAACGGGTAAGCAAACCAGGCCGGGTGGGACCAGGCCTGAAGAACCACCCAAGCTGATCCAACCCATAGAATTGGGAGCTAAATAAGTGGTGGTTTTTGTTTTTGTTTTGTTTTTCCACTGGAGTGCACTGGCCCAATCAAAGCTCACAGTAGCCTTGAACCCCTGGGTCCAAGCATCCTCCTGCCTCAGCCTCCTGAGTAGCCGGGACTGCGGGTGCACACCACCATGCCCAGATAAGTTTTGTATTTTTTGTAGAGATGAGGTCTCACTCTGTTGCCCAGTTTGATCTCTAACTACTGTCCTTCAAGGGATCCTCCTGCCTTGGCCTCCCAAAGCACTGGGAGGCATGAACCACTGTGCCTGGCCAATGGTGACTACTTTAAGCCACTAAGTCTTGGGGTGGTTACACTGAAAGAATCCCATTTTCCCCACCACATGAAGGTTCTGATCTATCACATTCAAACTGATCTTGAGAAATTCATTCTTCTGGCAGCTGGGTAAAATGTGAGTAGGAAACACGATACTCCATTTCTAGTTCAGCTCTTTCACTGGGTATCCAGGCTGTATTTTAAGAAATTTTTGTGAAATCAACAGCATATATATTATCAAAGCAAGTATTTTCTGTCCCTTGTCTATGGTCCAGGGAACCTGCAATAAGATACAAATGAACGGTTGACACCATACCATAAAGATTGGGAATAAGCATATCATAAAGATTAGCAATAAGCTGGATCATGATTTTACAGTGAGCCCGGTTTGAGCAAGCCATAAAAAGGATTTTATGGTCAAATATAAGTTTAATATAATCTCTTTATCATGTTTCCCCAATAACTGTTCATTATTGCTTCATTTTGTTTACACTTGTCACATACATCTCTATAGTACACAGACACAGACTTATATTTTCTATACATTTCTTAGCATATAGTTGCCTTTGGATCAATACAGAATTAGTAGGGATCAGTGCAGGAAAGAATATTACCTTTTTCTGAAAGTAGAGTCTTACATATTTATATAGCACCTTTGATTTAAGGAGCCCAAGGTACTTTAACATTCACTATAGCATCCTTCTGATATCTCTGGGTAGGGAAACTATTATAAATTATCATTATTGCCTTTTTATAGAAGGAACAAATAAAAGCAAAGAAAGGCGAAGTGCTCAGTGAGATGACAGTCACAGCAGAAACTCGGGTTTTCACCTCAGAGGTCTACTTTGTGAACTGTAACTCTGTAATATATTCCATATCAAAAGGTATAATGGTTTCCTCCATTTGTATAACATCTCCCTGTGGATGATGTTAAGTAAAAGGGCAGGAATGACAGTAAATTCCCACCAACAGATCCTCCTGGCTGTGCAGTTATTTCCTGCAGTTCTTTATGTTGGCTAAGGAGTCCCATAAATTACAGAACTGTCCTGTGCTTCTCCACTGAAAATCCTAATTGACCGCTACCACCCCAGTATTTCCAGCAGGAGGGAAAAACCAGTGATCCACAGTCATGCTCTTCAGCTGGGCATTTGTGGCCAATAAAGTCTGGGCAGTGACCACTATTAGTGCTTTCTTTTATAACCTACCAGATGTACAAAATTAATTTTAACTTGCTTGCGTATTTTTGCTTTTCTCCAGTATTTGCAGGGAACCAGTGCTCACTGAGTAACAAAAGATAAAACCACCCAGGGAATTTCCTTCCATCTGGACCATCGTCTAGGTTTCTCACACGGGGGATGATGCCAAGAGAAAGACACCTTTAGGATAAGAAGTTTTCTTAAATTCACAACATGCGGTTTGGCTTTAAATTTAAATGCACTGGAAAATGGAATGTTTTCCACTTCTACAAGGCCAACCTACAGATGCACGATTATGTACGAATAAAAGAGGATCCATTTATGCTATTCTTATCTAGACAAAGAAAATGCAAATTAAAATTTCAACTTTATTCTTCCTTGAACTTCCCTGGCCCTTTCTTTCCAGGAGCCCCATGTCCTGTTCGTTTTCTCCATCTTTTCCAGAGAGACCTCTAGAATAAGAATGCCAAGCCGCAGCAACTTGGAGTTTTAGAAATTTGGTTACCAAGTACCTGAGTGCCTCTGCCAGTGTGGAAAAATTAACCACCTAGGGGGTAAGGTCACATACTGAGCTTAGTTCTGCTTAAGGACCGACACAAACTTAAAAACATTCAGGAGAAAAAAATAGGGTTTCCTTTTTTCTTTCTTTTAGAAAAATGAGAATACAGAACATTTTTCAGAATATGGAAGTCCCACCACATGTTCCCAGCAACTATCTCCGGGCCTCACATGTTTAGCCTTTTCCCTAAAGTGCTTACAATGAACACACACAGGGAAAGTCATCTCCAAAACACTGTGAGAAGGGGCACAAAAGAAAACATGTAAAGCAGGCCAGCGTGCGGGCTCACGCCTGTAATCCCAGTACTTTGGGAGGCCGAGGCTGGAGGACTGCTTTCGCTGGGGAGTTTGAGACCAGCCTGGGTAACATGGTGGCACCCTGTCTCGGTGAGAGGGAGGGGGAGAATCTGGGCATGGCATGCAGCTGTGATCCCAGCTACTCCGGAGGTTGAGGTGGGAGGATCACTTGGATTGCTTGAGCCCAGGAGTTAGAGGCTGCACTGGGCTATGATCGCACCACTGCACTCCAACCTGGGCCAGAGCCAGGTTGCCAAAACAAAAACAAAAACAAAAACAAAAACAAAAACACAAAAACAAAAAAAAAACGCAAAAGAAAAGAAAGAGACCCTCACCTTTAGGATAATTTTTGAGAAAACCTTTAAATTAAAAAAGAGGGGGAAAAGATATCAAGAAAAGTTATGAAAAGGAATACAAATATGGGGGGAAAACACAGACCCTCCCCCCCCCACAGAACAGGATAGTCATAAAAATAGCTGTCATAGTGCCACAAATTACTGCTGCGAGTTTGAGGGGTGGCAGGGGAGGCATCTGCCCCAGTGCAGGGGAGCTGCTGAGCATCCGTGGGCCTGGGGAGAGTCCTCATCAATTCACTTGCTGAAAAGCCCATTTCCTGGAGGGCAAGGTGGGCGGAGAACGCCCGGTGGTCTTCTTCGACTGTACCGATCGATCCCTGGGTGGTCGGCGCTGGTCGGCGCTGGGGCCATGGGGGGCGCTCAAGCCTTGGCCCCGCCCTCCTCCTGCACCGGCCGCGAGGCCTTCTCCGGCTCCCGCAGCCCCTCGGGGCCGCCGCACTGGTCCGGGAAGCGCGGGCCGTTCCCCGCGAAGGAGTCGCGGCGCGCCAGGGTCTCCTCCTGCACCGGGCGGCCCACGGGCTCCGCCGCCGCCGCAGCGCCCTCCTGCGAGGTCTGACTGACGTAGACCACAATGATGTCGCCCTTGAAGTTCATCACCTGCCCACTGGAGATGAACGTGGAGTTACTGTTTCCAGTCACATTTCCTGCCGGGAGAGGAAGGGAGAACACGGGGAGGGTGAGTCAGCGCCCGGAGGACGGGTCTCCCGAGAGGAGTGGAGGGCGAGGGCGGCTTCCCGGCTTCCCACAGCCCCGGGCCACAGGGAACCATGCTGTCACCCTCCAGGCCCACTGAGGTGGAGGAGGGCGGGGCAGAGAAGAGAGGAGGAGAAGAGAAAAGAGAAAAAAGACAAAAGAAGTAAAGAGAAGAGGCGGGAGAGGAAAAGAGGAGGAAAAGGAGTGGAAGAGGTGGGGGGAAAGGGGGAAGAGAGGGCGAGGAAGAGGAGAGGGGGAGGAAGAGAAGAGGGCGAGGAAGAGGAGAGGGCGAGGAAGAAGAGGAGGAGAGGAAGAAAGGGTAGAGGAAGAGGAAGGAGAGAGGAAGGGGGAGGAGAAGGAGGGGAGAAAGAGGAGGAGGAGAGGAAGAGGAGGAGGAGAAGAGGAACAGGAAAGGAGGGGAGAAGAAGAGATGAGAAATGAGCAAGCCTAGGGGCAGACTCATGCTTTACCATTTGCCTGTGATGTGGGACTCTGGGATACTGGCAAGAGAGCACACCAGGATTACAGAATCACAGACAAGATTCAAATGTTACAAAAGAGAGAGAGAGAGAGTGTGTGTGTGTGTGTGTGTGTTTTCAACACAGAACAAGCACAGCTAAGGGAGGAGACCTCAGTCTGCTCTCCTCTCTGGACTTACATCTGAAGCCCTATCACCCTGCGTGCCTTGGTTCCTCCTGGTCCCTAACGGCTCAGCCCTGGAGGATCATGGGGCCATGTGGGCTCAACTTTCAGTAGTGATTAATCAATTTCCTTAACATTCAAAAAAATTACTTCCGGAAACAAAGGAGATTCACAAAACTAAAATGGAAAAAAAAAAAAAGTCCTATAAATCACTTTTCCCTTCTGAACTCTGAAGGGTGTTTTGTCCCTAGGGGGTTCTATCATCATTTCTTTGTGGGTGACTAGATGTGGCCAGTCTTTAAGCAGCGGACGTTTTGAAAAACAAACAGAAAGCCCAACAAATGTTAGGAAATCTGCTAGCTCTTATGATTCTTCCATTTTAAAGACAGAAATTTCCTAGTCGTTGGTCTAGGAAAGTACCACAAACCAAGCAGATCTAGAAACGCCCCAACACTCAGCATCACAAACAGAATCCTTCCATTTGATCAGGGGCCAGGAATGTCAGAATGGCTCCTCATGATTCACTACCTTTTTCTTCTCCATTGTGACTCAGCTTAGTAATAATTCATACGAATAAAATGAAGTTTTTGTTACCACTCCATATGAGATTTTCCTCAAATTTGGAAGGCATGTTTTGGATGGCCTGACTAAAATACCGATAGGCATGTAGGAAATTCCTTTGAGGAGCCTTCCCCTGACCCACTGGGTACCTCTAGAGAAGCCAAGACCAAAACACAAGGAAAAGCCCATGAAAACACAAGGATTTCAAGTATGATCAACAAATCCAAAGTCCTGGAAGGAGGTCTGTGCCTTATGCTGTTTCTCCCATAGGCAGTTGTGTGGGATGTCCTCCAAGAGGGGAGTGGCAGGACTTGTCTAAGAACCCCCAATGGGGGAGGCCCGCTGGCATTCCTGTTTACCACCTACCCAGCACATTCTCCACCCCCTCTCCACACACTGCCAGACACACAGCGAACTCCAGTGAGGGTCTACTCACCACTGTATCTATGCCCTTCTGCTCCTACCACTTACCAAGTTCCTTCTCAAGTCTGTTGTCACCAGATAAACTCGTCAGGAAATTTAATTAAATATTGGGCAAAGCAGTGAAATATTAGTGAGAAAAAATGGGAAATGTTTCTATAAAAACTAAAGTGAATGCTTTGCAAGGACCCAAATAAAAGTGAGTTACTGAAAAACACACGCGCGCACACACATACACACATACACAAACAAAATGAAACCACCACCACAAACTGTTCAACTGGTGTGGTGGTGTAGGCAAGGAAACTATGAAAAAAGAAAAAGGAAGGACTTCTGGTTTCAAAATGGCGGCGCAGAAGCAAGCTGGTTCCACTCACCCCACAGAAAACCAAAACAAAATATACAGCACCGACATTATCACTCAAAATATTCGAGAACACAAATATGACAATGAGGCAGTTCCCAGGGCTACAGAGAAGTGAGAAAGGAAGAAAAAGAACAGGAAAAGGAAATAGTAAAAGTCCGGAAGGATTTTGCTCTCAAATACCTGTAACTTCTCATTTCACACTGAAGAAATAGAAACTGGAAATTAGGTGGTATGGTTAATGTAAAAAGGGCTCAGGAGGCCGGGCATGGTGGCTTACCCCTGTAATCCTAGCACTTTGGGAGACCAAGGCAGGTAGATCACCTGAGGTCAGGAGTTCAAGACCAGCCTGGCCAACACAGCGAAACCCCATGGCTACTAAAAATACAATCCCAGCTACTCAAGAGGCTGAGGTAGGAGAATTGCTTGAATCCGAGAGGCGGAGGTTGCAGTGAGCATGCCACTGCACTCCAGCCTGGGCGACAAGAGCAAGATTCCGTCTCAAAAAAAAAAAAAAAAAAAAATAGGGGGCTCAGGACACTATAATCAGCCAGTACATACAGGCTTATACTAAAACATAATTGGTGTGTAAATATAAGGTATATGTTTTAAGTAAAAAAAAAGTTTAAGATATGAACTTATAAGATGACATTTTTAAGTAACTCAGCAACTGCTGACCAAGTGCTAATAAAAAGGCTTCTACCGTAGCAGCAACAGACAAGTAGACATAGCAACACAGTTACGTCTTCCTATTTGAGAAATCACTATTTCATTAATAGAAAAAGTGAAAGTGAAAAATAAAAAGTACATGGAATGGGACATTCAATTTTAAAAAATGTACATACAATGAAAATTCTATTCTGATTAAAAACATACCATGTTTATTTAATAACATAAGCAATTTAAAGTTGCTTAGACGTATGATTACTCTTGACCTAGTTCCTCTAGTTTTAATATACACCATGACACAAACAGATACATCTATGAAGAGGATAAAGAAGAGATGAGATTAAATGCAAAACCATCCATCATGAGGTGTTCTCACTACATCATCATTGCCTGCTGGTTCCGTTGTTCTTCAGTATCATGTGAAACTACACAGAGGACATCTCCAGCCACTGCATGATTGATTTATGGTTTTGAATTTGCTCTCATCTCTTCTTTATCTTCCTCACTGATTTATCTGCTTATGTCATGGTATATATTATTTATCTACCATTTTAAATTTTATTTTTCAACAAATCAACATGAATCCATTGTTGTTTACTTTTTTCTTGTGAGAACCTTTGATGAGTCTGAACCCAGGTAAAACCTATGGTTTGCGTAAAGTCTTTCATCTTGAGAATTTCATTCCATGCCATTGCTCCATGGCAAACAGTATCTTTGATACTGATAACCTAAATATTCTGTAGCACCTATATTCATTTTTGTTTTCTTTTTTCAGATGGACCTCAAACCCTTTTGCGTAAGTAAAATATCTAAACACTTCAGAATCCTTTGTTTCATGGACTGAACCAAGAATATTATTGTTGGGGGACTGAGTGCGGTGGCTCACACCTGTAAACCTGGCACTTTGGGAGGCCAAAGTGGGCGAATGCTTAAGCCCAGGAGTTGGAGACCAGATAGGCAACATGGTAACCCTGCCTCTATGAAAAATGCAAAAAAATTAGTTGGGTGTGGTGGCACACGCCTGTAGTCACAGCTACTTGGGAGGCTGAGGTGGGAGGATCACCTGAGCCCAGAGATGCTGAGGCTCCAGTGATCTGTGATTGTGCCACTGCACTCCAGCCTGGGCGACAGAGTGACCCCTCATCTCAAAAAAAAAAAAAAAAAAAAAAAAAGAGTATTATTTTTGGAAGGCCATGAAGCTTGTGGAAGGACAAAAACTAGGCCTTTAAATTCCTGACCATTGGCCGGGCGCGGTGGCTCACGCCTGTAATCCCAGCACTTTGGGAGGCCGAGGCGGGCAGATCACGAGGTCAGGAGATCGAGACCATCCTGGCTAACACAGTGAAACCCTATCTCTACTAAAAATACAAAAAATTAGCCAGGCGTGGTGGCAGGCACCTGTAGTCCCAGCTACTTGGGAGGCAGAGGCAAGAGAATGGCATGAATCCAGGAGGCGGGGCTTGCAGTGAGCCGAGATCAGGCCGCTGCACTCCGGCCTGGGCGACAGAGCGAGACTCTGTCTTGAAAAAAAAAAGAAAAAGAAAATTCCTGACCATTAAGATGTAAAGGACAGTTACCTAGAAAGATTAAGGAGATTCTCAAACAAGTTTATTCTTCAAGTGTTTCTTTAATGAAGCTACAATTAATGACAAAAACAACCTTCGGTCAAGTCCATCCATGGTGACTCTTGAGAGATATGGTAAACTGATAGAGATCAACTTTTTAAAAAAAGTTATACTGATCTGCCAATCACAATACGCGGCAATTCTTAAGTGGCAGCAGAGTGGTCTCCGTGGGCCTGTGCAGCTGCACAAGGCCTTATGCTCTGCAGAGCTCCACGCTGGGTTAAATGCTTTATTGTCATCATGAAATTCTTATTAATTTTTGCAAAAGGGGGAAATTTTTCATTTTCACTGGGCTATGCCAGTTATGTCACCAGTCCTGAAGACATGGGCAGCTCTTAGGAACCCTACTCTGGGAACTTTCCCCATTGAGGCTATAATCTAGCACTACCATTTTCGGAAGTAACATCTTATGAGTTGGACATTTTTCAATATTCCAGAAGTGTTTGCTAATCAGATTTTCTCTACTAATTTTCTCTACTACAACTCAGTAGAACTGAGCTGTAGGAGTCATCCACTTTGCTTCTGAAATCCCAATCCTGTGACATGTTTTCCTATATTCAAGCCACCCACCACTCGCTGCGAAACACCGACTTTCTGATGGAAAACTGGGGCCTGTCCTTTGCGGATGGGTCTACTGATTGTACCAACTGGATCTTGAATGCTTTACCTA